TTGTTTATTGCAGTTCCTCCACCAGCCTTGCAGCTGGCATTCTCTTCCTCAGCTGGCATTCTTCTGTTTCACTTTTGATGCGTGCATACGGATCATATTCTACTCTCTGGCCTCGATCTGAAGAGCCACGCTTGCCTTGGTGAGGGCAGCGTGTCCAAAAAGGGCTGTATTTGGTAATAGTTCAAGCGTTGGACAAGATGCAGGGGAAGGCTCAGGATTCAAAACTGTATGCCTAAGCAGGCTAGGAAGGCTTGTAGCTTCCTGGACACCACGCTGGCCAAATGTTTCTGGTTACATCCTAAATGTTGCCGCAGGTTCTTGGAGAGTTGTGGTCTCTGCCCAGGTCCCAGGGGTCATCTCCATTTCTGCTGACTAGACAGATGTGCCTCAGGCCTGTGGGTCAGCTTTTGTGCTGGGAAGCTGATCTCATAGCACAGTGGGAGGTGCTTTTTTTTTCTTAGACTGGGTTTTCTTCTGTAGAAGTTGGGTCATCCAGTCCAGCATGACTAGAAAACACAATGCTTTTCAGCATGTGTGCTAGCTGCTGCTTCTCTTAGCTAACAAGTCTAGCTCACAAGAAGCAGTCACCAGGTACCCATTGGCCAAATGCTGTAGTCCTCCTGCCTGGCATACTGGTATTTTGTATTCTTGTGCTTTGCTCCTGACTGCTTTGGGGTTGTTGAGGGAAAGTCCAACTTTTGTCAGTGTGACCCTGGGGTCAGTATTTATCCCTCACCTGTGGCCTGGCTCCAGAATTGTCAGTGGCCATCTGCCTTAGTCTTCAGCACCACAGGTCCTGAGGGCTGGCCACAGTCCTAGGAGCCACAGCAAGGCGGTGCTGGAAAGATGGACATGCAAGCTGCTTACAATGAAGGTGTGAGTCAACAGTGCTTAATGCAGTCAGCTTTCTCGCTGTGTAATACATCATAATTTTAAATGTTTGTTTTCCTTTTTGTTTTGGAAAATAGCTTTACTAGTGAGTCATGAAGCATTGCCAGTGTTCCTGTACAAGACGGCTTATAAAGAGTGGGAACATCAGCACCGTGGTGCGGTCTGCAGTAATTCACACACCCACTGCAGTGCAACTCTCTGCCCCTACTTCTCAAGTGTGTGGTGACCTCTGAGGCTAGTTTCCTTGTCACCTTAAGTTACACCATCAAAGAGGACATCCCTGCTCTTCCCGCTCCCTTGTTCCTGTGCTGGCATCCTCAGGTGGCAGTGCTCTGGCGCTGTGAACTGGGAGGAGCAGGCATCTCCTTGATGCTGGTGGTGGTCTGGTAAGACATCGGTAGTCTTCAGCCGGCGTTCAGTAATGTACTCTGGCTGGGTCTTCAACAGTACAGCACTGTTTGTTTCTGTGGAGGAGCATATTCCCTCCTGGAGGGCAGTGTTGGTATTGGGGGCAGGGTTTACCCCACTTAGTGGTTAGGAAGAGCAGAGTTGCCTTGTGAATCTTCCTGACTTTTGTTTGAAAATATTTTGTGTGTTAACTACAAGAAAATGCAGCTTATTGCTCTTCATTATGCCCATCCTGCTAAAAAGTAAGTGTTTGAATAGTGAGGTATGCAGTTCAAATTTGGAGCAGATACACTGACAGACTGGCATCTAGACTTAAACATTGTAGAGCAAATTCTCGTCCAGTACAAGAGTGTTTTACTGGGGAGCATAATGGAATATGGGATGTGGTATGTCCTTCTGTAGTCACCAATAACTCTGCTCTTGAACCTCACCCCCCACTTCTTGCAAGTCTGGCTTGATGGGCAATCTGTCTTGCTAACGATAGATCAGTCTGTTGGAAGGGGGGATGCTAAACTGGCCTGAATGTTTTACTGCTGTTTGAGCTGTAGTGGTGGTGTTGGAGGATACCAAAGGGTCTGCTTGGATGAACTGGTCTCCCTCAAGCTGTTGTGTGGATCGTGCGCTGCATTTTACAGTACAATGGAAGGACTTCGAATTTTATAAGCCAGCTAAAATAGTTGAACCCATGCCTTTGTTTACCAGAGGAAGGATGAGTAATATTTAGGCCTTCAAATAGTTTTCTGCTTTATATTTGTTTGAAACTGCTGGGATTCTTCTGTCTTTATTTGTGGATAGTGTCCATGTTTAGTAATAACTCTTCACTTTGAGTTAGTCTGATGAAAAACACGAAGCTGTATCTGAGCTATAAAGTGTCTATTTTTCAAGCCCTGTAGATAGCTTCCTCTTTAAAAATGTTTCTGAAACGCTACTTGCCACAAAGTATTTTTTCTCACATTCACTTGTATGTGGGAAAATATTGGCTACATTGCTGTTTTCTTCAGAGCCCCTGGATGAATACATGGAGCAGTTGTAACCACGTTTGGACTACCTCTCCACCTGGTGCCCGGCTCCTTCTCTTGCGTCACAGCCACAGAATGTTTTTCTTTGTGGCTGTCACTCCCTCCCAGGTGGGCCTGCACATCTGAAACTTGTCATGTTGGCTTTTCTTGGGGGCGGTGAGGTACTTGGCAGTGAGCCTGTGGCACTTGATGGCTGCAGCCTGTTTTCATTGCCACTTTCCCAGGAGCCCTTGGACGACTGCAGTCATCTCACAGATATCTCTAGGCCATGCAGTGGAGAAGGCTTGATGGACTCTGCAGAGCGGTTGACTGCTGTCCTCAGAGTAATTCAGGTGGCATATGCTTCCTTGTTGCTCACCTTTAGGAAAGAAGGTGCTGAAAGTAGGCAGAGGGTTCAAATCTCTTGCTCTGATGGCCGAAATCTGCCTGTAGCCCATAGGTGAGGCACTTCTAACTGTGAGAACAGTCTGTGTGGGCCTTGGGGGGTGTGTGTCTGCCCGGGTGTTTGTGATCTCCATCAGAAGTTAGTGAAGATGTCTGAAGCTAATGAGTCTGCTTAGATAATCCCCCTTCTCTAAATTATGGATAATAATACTTCCTTCTGTCAGTGGCAAAACCAAAACCCTGAGACGCTTTGTGATTGGCTTTCAGTGAAAACTGGGACTAGTACCAGACCTGAGCATCATATGCATGTCTCCTGAGTATGGCAACTACTGTTATCACACAGATGAATCTCTTACTTCTCTTGTCCCGTGAAGTTTAAACTACAGAAGGTGTGAAGTTAAACTTGTCCCCTATATTGTTTGGAATAACTGAAAACTCTGCTTTAGTCATTGGCAAAATAAAAGAAACCAAATCCAAGACAAAGCTGCGTCAGCAAGGGGAGATTTAAGTCTGTAAAGCATTTGTCTGAAATCTGTGAAGTGCTGATCTGTTGCAGCTGCTGGCACCTTGCTTGTTCTTGGATGTTAACTACCATTAAACCAAACTAAAACATATATGACATAAGCAAGCCTCTGCTGCTGAATTTCTTCTTGATAAAGCAAATAAGGGGGAGGAGAGAAATCCACAACATGTGTTTCTTTGTGATAAGACTTAAGCTCTGAGTGAGTTCAGGAGATAGAAACTTTGAAGGATACCTTGAAGAGACTTTGATATGAGTTGCTACAGAGAGGGACCTTCTGTGTTGTTGTTCCCCCCACCCCCAAATTCCCTGCCCCCCACCTTAAAAGCCAGCTAAATATTCACATTGTTCCCCTTACACTGAATGTAGTTGTGTGGTCATGTAACCACATAAGGAAATGTTTTCCATTGGATCAGTGAGATGATTCAACTCAAATGTACGTACACTCATACTATCCCAAAATCCAGTGCGAGGGAGCGA